CGCCAGCATTACAGCGTGAGACATCAAGGGATCCATAGAAAACGATATTATTTGATCCGCGGAACCATTGCACCTCTTGTATATCAGATAAAGTGTCACCAGCTTCAAGACCGATGTCACACGACATCTGCAACTGTTCTCCTCTCTGGACGGTCACTGCATCAGTTGTGGATGCGATTGTGAACGCTGTAGTTATGGATGCAATTGAGGCGATCAGCGATGCACGGAGAAATGCCACACTAGCCATTTTTGTTCTCTCCACCAAAGTATCAGTTAAGACTAACAGCGGCTATACAGGTGTTTACCACATTAAAATGACAAGTACTCAAATTTATCCACAGTCTGCCATTCAATTATTTAGGTAGATGTTATCTTTTTCTACGTACCTCTTCAGTTTATCGCGAAGATTTAAACACATGAACTCAATGGGAAATGTAGCATTGTGTTCAGGTGTAATATTCTCTACACACCTGCGTACGATTTCCTGTAGACCTATTTGGGGGTTGTTTCCTCGTTCCCTTTTTGACCTCAGCTTTCATTTCCACTGAACCGATTGCCGTTCACGCAAAACGCACATAAAGGATATTCAAAGTAATTGAAAAACACATCGCTTTCAATGGCGGATTTGGGAATTTCGCACGCTTTTGGAAGGCGGGGAAATCAAACAGACCAAGAAAAGCCTCTTTCTTTCTTTCATTCACCCCCCCTCCCCATTTGCTCTTTTGGGAGATGAGGGGCATTGCCTCCCCCTGGACCCAACCATGGACAGAAATAGGTTTGGGGAGACCCCATAATGTTTGTCTTGTTCCCAGCGTGTGAAATGCAGGATTGGACATTTTGGTCGTAAGGTTGCAAGCCTTGGGACATTTCGTATATGGAAATGCTCTTCACGTCGAAACAAACCAGCTGGTCTAAAAAGAGGAATTATCTGTAAATGAACAAAAGTAGTGAAGGAACCAACTCTAAACATTCAAGTTTCTCTTTTTCTCTTGGAAATTAACTGCTTTCCAAAAATGCTAGTATATGTAGGTTATAGTCAGTGGATTATTTCAAATTGGCCAGATCAACAAGACCAGAACCGAGGTAAGTAAAAAAGGTGTAGTTGTAGTGCAGGAATCTTATACCCCGGCTCGATTCTTTGTGCTAATAGTGAAAGTGTCGACCTCGTGAGTGCCTTGGTCTGCCCCGTAACACCATCCTGTTTTAAATTCTTTTCAGCATAGAGATCGCCATTCAATAGGCCTATCCGGAGTTTCGAAGGTTGGCAATAACTTTCTATCCACAGATGACATTGATTACCATAATCAAGTGGAGGTCTATTTGCCCGTGAAAAGTCGGTGTGAAGAAGCTCCTATCCGTTCTTAGCTCCATTAGCCCCCTTTTCCGAACGCACTCGATTGCACAATGGTAAAACGCACACATTACCCCCCCCACGCTGTAGTTATGGATGCAATTGAGACGATCAGTACTGCATGGAGAAATGCCACGCTGGCCATTCTTGTTTTATGCAAGTGTCAGCAAAGCTATACATGTACTGCCATGCACGTGTTAACCACTAACAAAGGACAACAAACACTTCAATTAAGTCACAGACCCCTACTCAGTTCTATAGCCAGAGGTTATCTTTTCTACATGTTGATTACCTTTAAGTTTATAAGAAAATATTACGAAAATGTATACACATGAAAATAATTTTACTGTACTCATTGGACAATCTAGCATATGTTAAGATTTGATATTCTTACACGTATACAAGTATGCACCTGTTTGCAGTGTTGAGTTTCTTCGTTCCTATTTTGACCCCTGCTTCATTTCCACTGAACCGGTTGCCATTCACACAAAGCGCATACAAAGAATATTCTGACTAATCGAAAAATACATTGGTTTTCGAGGGAGGGTTGGTTTATAGAGAATATGACGTGATCATTCGGATCAGGAGCAAGGGCGGATATTTTTTTTGGGGGGGGGGCAGAAAATTTGGAAATGTTTTCCTGGAATTTTAACCCTTGATGTTACATGTGACGTATGTATTTTTCGGGATTTTTGCACGCTTTTGAAGGCGAAGGAAATGAAATAGACCAAGAAAAGCCTCTTTCTTCCGTTTATCCCCCATTTGCTTCTTTTGTAGAGGAGGGTGCATTGCCTTCCCCCTGGACCCAACCTTGGACAGACACAGGTTCGGGGAAAAGTCATAATGATTGTCATGTTCCCAGATAGAACATTTTGGCAGTAACGTTGCAAGCCTTGGAACATTTCTTATACGGAAACGTGCTTAACATTGAAACAAACAGGCCTACAAGTAGCAATGGCTATGAACATAAATGGTTTAGGAACCAACTCTATAAAACATTCACGAGGGTCTTTTTCTCTTGGAAATAAACTGCTTCCCCAAAATGCTAATATGTAGGTTATAGTCAGTGGATTATTTCAAATTGGCCAGATCAACAAGACCAGAACCGAGGTAAGAAAAAAATGTGTAGTTGTAGTGCAGGACCCTCATGCCCCCGCTGGATTCTTCCTTGCAAGAAGTGAAAGTGTCGACCTCGTGGGTGCGGCGGGTTCGCCTCAACGTAAAGCACTACCCTGTTTTAGATTGTTTTTGCCGAGATTACCATTCAACCTCCCGAGTTTGGCAAGGTTGGCAGGTTATCTTTTTATTCCCATGAAGATCTAAAACCTTCGTCGCCACTGACGTTCGACTCCACAGATGACAGCGGATACAAAGATATCATAATCAAGTGGGGGTCCAATGGCCAGTAAAAAGTCGGTGTAAAAAAGCCCTCACCGGTTATTGTATAGCTCCATCAGCCCCCGTTTCCGAACGCGCTCGATTGCACAACGCACACAGTATTCCCCCCTACGAAACAAGACCACCAGCTTTCAGTTATAGCTTCAATCCACCCTATTTTCCACACGTGGGTTGGCATTTTCACCTTAGTAAACATGTGGGTCATTTCTTATCAAATTAAACACTTACCCGGGCTAATCTTACAACTTATGAATAATGTTACTGAAAATTGGGTTAAACGAAAACCATAAAATCCATAAAAATGCGCCCGAGTGCTTTTGGTATTGCAGTTTTTGAGTTATCAGTCCATAAACCTTTTTATCTAACTTTCTCAAAGATCTTTAAACTTCTCTATCCTCGAGCAAAGATGATTTTATCCTACGTAAAAGCTTGATGCCCTATCAAAGTGAATTATCTTATTTTAGAAAAATAAAAAAAAACTGACTTCATTCCAAAACTCGTCATCGCGGACTAAGGCCAGATTTTGCGTTCCGTAAGACTTGACTCAAGTCGGGATCTCTGCGACGTCTTCGATTATGCTTAGGCCACATGTCCAGACTGCGCGCTGTTGTTGCCTGCTTCGCGCTCTCTTGTGTCCATTTATTACTATGAGTTCAGTTCAGAAATCCCGACTTGACGAATTTGCCAAACGTTTCTACACAGCGAATAAGCTTATCTACCAAAAGTAGTAGCAGCCAATCACAGTGCCGGACTTGTTTTTACGTCGTTCATACCTGCTTTATAATGACCGAGTCTGCAAGTCTGTCTACTTTGATTGGTGGAAATTCCGTATACATTACGCAAGATCATGTCGTTCATATACGATTATGAATAACTACGTATCACCGACGGGGGTGCGATTGGCGCATTCGTCCAGTCGGACTTAGTGACTGGTGACGTAAAACACACGTTGTGCAATAAAAGCTATCAGAAGAGGGTGCCCTATAAGGGTTATGTGAGCTGCCTGGCCGAGTGCGACGACCGTGTAGTGCGTACAGGCTGAGAGATAGCTGACTGAGGAAGAGCAACGTAAGTCCGACTTGATTCGAGTCTAGCGTTCCGCAGACTTTAAAGACCAACGCTACTGTAGAGCCCTCCTCAGTCTTAGACACCGGCACGAAATTTCCTAGAGCTGATGAGCACCGGAGCCTCATATTTCATATTGATGCTGAGCTGTAGTAATTTAGGGGTAAACTAGAAATGTGACTGCTAACAGAGATCCACAGTGTGCTTCTCCCTTTTTACTATAATGAGATCTCGAGGAGCTTTGACTGCGGATGAGTTAAAATGACAGCAATGTACTCAAAGAACAGAACGTACAGATGAAACTGCCTCCTACATATCAAAGCTACATCACAGGGCATGCACGGAAAAGATGAAAAGAAACGTCTTCAAATGTCTTCGTACAGGGCCAAAGGCATGTAACCAGTGTCAGCAGTATTTTGAGTGGCGCTATTTTCCCCGTCTTCTGACACGATGTAAGGAGTGTATCCGTCATTTATGTTGGCTTGAGCAGTAATTTGGTCCACATCATCTAAAGGAAGGGTTGTGTTAG